TAGCTTACATTTCCTATGACATTAACAATTTTCTTCAATTCTTGAAAATTTTTTGCAAGAGGAGCTAACTTAATATAATATATAAGTAAATGAACGACTTCATATAGTAATATAAAAATTTTTATTTTAACAGCAGTAAAAATGCTTTCTAATTGACAATATCATCTGTTTTTTTTATCTATTTCGTCTAGATTGAAGATGAAAAGAAAAAAATGTATAATGATGTGATCGTATAGTAAAAGTAATAGTTCCCTAGTTATAAACAGCCTGTATGTATACTATACGAGGAACAAAAAACGTACAATTGTTAGTCTTTCTTGGCTGATATTATCAATTACAAAACATTTTCGCTGCTGTTAAAATAAAAATTTGTATATTACTATATGAAGTCGTTCATTTACTTATATATTATATTAAGTTAGCTCCTCTTGCAAAAAATTTTCAAGAATTGAAGAAAATTGTTAATGTCATAGGAAATGTAAGCTAGAATTTTCCAGGGCAGGGAAGAGTGTCTCTCTATCCTCACGGACGCACTACTTCTGCTTCTCATATTATAATAAATCAAACTCTGTTGAATTAAAAATATGTCTTAAAATGTTCATTTTTTAATGGAAAGATTGATATTTGTTTGAAGCAATCGAATACGTTAATAAATATTAATTTATTTTTGTAATAATATTAAAGGTATTGGTTTCAAATCAGGATTTATAGTCTCTGATCGATCAGAGATCCATCCTGGTGGTTATCATTTTTGTTTTGATACAAGAAATGAAGAGGACAAAATGAGCTATATTAATCCAATATGGTTACATGAATCTGAAGAAAATTTATCATTAATAAACGAATGGAATACATGTATTCGTTTTCCAATAAAACAAAATGGACGATCTAATTCATTAAACAGTAAATTTGATGATATACACGCAAGATTATTATTATTTCTTAATCGTCTTCGACAAATCGAAATATTTCATGAAAAACAAAATAATCAAACAGACGTACAAATATTTACTCGAATTGATCATGCTCAAGGTCAAATTATTGAATTACAAAAGAAAACAACATCCGAACAAATTATTAAATGTTTTTGGCTTGTTGTTCAAACAGTTGTTCAAATTCCAATTAATATTAAAGTTGTTTATTAAAATAAATAATTCTTTTAAAATTTTTTATTTAGATGCAATTCAATGATATTAAATGTGATGGTGAATCAACAACAATAGCAATAACTTATCCATTAGATCATATTCATGAAAATTCATCATATGAAAATCTTCCTTGTCAACCATTATTTGCTTATTTACCTCTTCGTTCATATGGTTTTCGTTTCATTCTTCAATGTGATTTTGACT